AAAAAAAAAAAAAAAAAAGCTAGTCCCATATAAAGAAGGTCAAACATTTTGCATATTCCCTTACCACTCCTTGGAAACTCCCAAAGCATATTATTATCTCATTTAAAGTTTTTAGGAGTCTCACAGTAAAGAAAAAGATTTTTGAAACTTTGTATTTAGTTTCTGAAAACTAAGTATTTGATCGCCAAACACTTATCTTGGGTAGCATCTGTTAAGGTCCGGTAGAGTAGTGATTTTAGAACCTTCTTTGGGAAATGCTATTGTAAACATAAGACTTTACCTTTTTAATTTTTTTAGAGACAGGGTTTCATGCTGTAACCAAGGCTGGAGTTTAGTGATGCATTCATAGCTCGCTGCAACCTTGAACTGCTGGGCAGAAGTGATTCTCCAACCTCAGCTTCCCAAGTAGCTTAGGACTACAGGTGTATGCTATCATGTGTAGCTATGTTGCCCAGGATGGTTGCGAACTCCTGAGCTCAAGCGAGTCTCCTGCTTTAGCCTCCCAAAGCACTGGGATTACAGTTGTGAGCCACTACCCCCAGGCAAACTTTACCATTTTGACTATTGTGCTAGAAATTAATTAACTATGACATTAATTCTCAGAGAGATCTTAGAATAATAATAAATTGGCTTTTTGATGTTTATTCTTTTTAAAAAGTCCTCTAAGTTTGAGACCAGCCTGGCAAACATGGTGAAACACCATCTCTACTAAAAATGCAAAAACTAGCTGGGTGTGGTGATGCATTGCCTATAGTCCCAGCTACTCGGGAGGCTGAGGCACAAGAATTGCTTGAACCTGGGACGTGGAGGTTACAGTGAACCCAGATCGAGCCACACTGTACCCCCACCTGGGCAACAGAGCCAGACTCCGTCTCAAGGAAAAAAAAAAAGTCCTCTCATCCATGTCTGTCATTTTGCAGTTAGGAAGGTGTGGTACGGAGAGATTAACTGACTGGCTCGATGTTCGAGAGCTGGGGAAAGTGTTTTGTAGCTAGAAGTGCCAGACAGAGCTTCTCATTATACCACATTTTCAAGACTTCAGAGCAGTGTTTCTCAGCCCTGGCTACATGTTAAAATTACTTGGAAATTTTTTCCTCCAATATATGTGATGGGAAACTTTACACATATACTGAAGAAGACAGAGTAACACAGTGAACCTTTATGTACTCATTACCAGCCACTACAATTATCAACTTTTGAATACTCCTGTTTCTTCCATATCCCCACTCCCTTTCACCCCAACTGTATATTTTATAGTAAATCCCCAGACATTATTTCATTCATAAATATTTAAGTATATATCTTTAAAAGTGAAGGATTCTTTTAAAAAACAACTTTTAAATTTGAATTAATTTTAGACTTAGAGAAAAGTCACAAATAATTTGAGAGTACCTGTATACCCTGCCCCATGCAGCTTCCCCTAAAGTTAACACTTTACATAACCTTAGTACAGTGATCAAAACCAGGAAATTAGCTTGGTACAGTACTAGTAACTAAATAGAGATTTTATTTTGAATTTTACCAGTAAATCTACAAACAAAGAAGTCAATCCTTTTGAAAAGTATAGTCACAATGCTGTTATACCCAAAATATTTAACAATGATATTTTAATTCATTCAGCATAGCTGAGGTGCTGTTAAGAAAATACCAATGTCTAGATCTCCAAACTGATTACATCAAAATCTTTGAAGGGTGATAGTGTTGGGCTGGTGGGATGTTGGCTATTGGTGTTTATGAAGGTGCTCAAGGTGATTCTAGTTTGTAACTAGTTTAGAACCAGTGTTTTGGAGCATTTATTTAAAAATAAACTGAGTTTGGCTGGGTGACATGGCTCATGCCAATAATTCCAGCGCTTTGGGAGGCCAAGACAAGCAGATTACTTGAGCCCAGGAGTTCAAGACCAGCCTGAGAAACATGGTGAAACCCTGTCTCTACAAAAAGACCAAAAAAAAAAAAAAAAAAAAAAAAAAATTAGGCAGGCATGGCGGTGTGTGCCTGTAGTCCCAGCTATTTGGGAGGCGAGAGGATGGCTTGAGCTCAGGCAGCGGAGGTTGCAGTGAGCCGAGAGATCTTCACTCTAGTCTGGGTGACAGATCAAGAACTGGTCTCAAAAAATAAACAGTTTAAAATTCTGTTCGAAGAACTTTGGGATTCACTTTGAATAGTCAATAATTACCCAGAATTATTGAAAAACAGAGCTCAGCACTCACAGTACTGAGCAATATTTCAGCAGCGCTCTCAGGCAGAGGAGGTGAGCACCGTTTTGGGGCTTTCACTGGTGATGTAATGTGTCCATTGTGTCTCTGTTGGTGAGTGTTAGCAAACTCCTGAATCATATCCATCCATCTTTGTTCACTTAAGACATAAGTGTTGAAATTAGTCATTTCCAAATGAGTAAAGCAGAGGATGTCGTTTTGATCAAATACCAATTCTCTGATATTATTCCAGATGTTTCCTGGAAATTTGGTTGGAAAGGTGAGGAAGTAACGTAATACTACGTGTTGAAAAGTGAAGGAACTTAATAACCATGGCGAGTAGGTGTTAGTGGAAGTATAGAACTGGGATCAACTAGAGGTCCCTAAAATTACAGTACCTGTGATCACTTAAGTCTGGATCAAAGGGAAACACAGCTATAACTATTTCTGATTCAGATAAAAGAAAATCAAAGAGTTAGCTAAGCTTTCCTTATGTTAAATGTGGATGATGGTCTTGAAAGAAAAGTTTATGTTTACAGATTTGTGTATGTGAGGAAGAAGAATAGAGGTAATTTCCTTTACACTCAGGGAGTCTAGTGATGTACCTTGACCACTAGTTCCCTTAATGGCAATAGGATGACCCCTCAGCCAGCAGTGTTGAACAGCTATTGCAGACCCATGTAATGGAAGGTTCTTTGAGGGTTCCAGAGACATGTGACATGGTCCCTGCTCTTTGAGAGTTTAGCCTGGATGAGGGAATGAAGATATACAGAACAGAAAAATGAAAAAGACACTGTTGAAAGGGAATGCTCA